AGTCTAAATGAGCAGGGAATTTAAAAAAAAAAAAAAAAACACAAAAAAACAAATCACACAGGAACTTTTATTATATAATCAGAAATAATTGTGGGAAATTTTAGTCTTTTAAACATACTGCTGCATTGCCATCAAACAAGACTTTAACCATAACTTAGAAGTTCATGCCTATTAGCTGTACCTTTTTGGTCTGGGAAGTCAGCTATAATTATTACACAAAAGCTCGTTCTCTAGGTCTCTTGCCATTCTCAGATCCAACTGGCTGAAAGCCACCATGAGACCAAAGTTTCTTAGAGCATTTTTATATGTCCTTGTTTTATTAACCTCTCTTGACAAAAATGAACTAAAATTCTGAATGGAAACAGAATTTGTGTTACCGTGTACTTAAAAGCAAACAAAAGAGACCAGGCAGTTCTTCAGATTTACATGTCATTGCTCCGGCTCAGCTGATTTACCTACTCCCACTATGTGTTTTCCTAAAAGAAATAAACCCTTCCAATGCAAATATTTCCTTTGAGAGCTGCGACATACCCCTGATATATATTGCCTGTTCAAAATAAACAAATACTGAAAACAGCTTTTTATATCACTGCAAATATAAACCAAGATCTAGCAATTACTTCTCAGATAATAGTTTTTCTCTAGAAAATACAATCTTCTGGAACAGATATATTCAATAGATCAGGATAGTCCTGATCTATCCCAAGGAAAAATCCAGGCTAGGCAGAGAATGGATTCAGAGTATCCCTGAGCAGAAGGACTTGGGGGTGTTGGTGGACAAGAAGCTCAACCTGACCCGGCAATGTGCGCTTGCAGCCCAGAAAGCCTACCATATCCTGGGCTGCATCAAAAGAAGTGTGACCAGCAGGTCAAGGGAGGTGATTCTCCTCCTCTACTCTGTTCTTGTGAGACCCCACTTGGAGTACTGTGTTCAGGTCTGGGGTCCCCAACATAAGAAGGACATGGAGCGAGTGCAGAGGAGGGCCACAAAGATGGTCAGAGGGCTGGAGCACCTCTCCTATGAAGGCAAGCTGAGAGAGTTGGGGTTGTTCAGCCTATAGAAGAGAAGGTTCCAAGGAGACCTTATAGCAGCCTTCCTGTACCTGAAGGGGAGAATCTACAGGAAAGCTGGACTGTTTACAAGGGCGTGAAGTGATAAGACAAGGGGTAAAGGCCTTAAGCTGGAGGAGCTTAGGTTTAGATTAGACATTAGGAAGAAACTCTTTACTGTGAGGGTGGTGAGGCACTGGAAGAGGCTGCCCAGAGAAGTTGTGGATGCCCCATCCCTGGAAGTGTTCAAGGCCAGGTTGGATGGGGCTTTGGGCAACCTGGTCTAGTGGAGGGTGTCCCTGCCCATGGCAGGGGGGGTTAGAACTAGATGATCTTTGAGGTCCTTTCCCACCCAGGCCATTGTTTGATTCTATGAGAGTCCTGGACAGATGATTGGTTTGATAAATGACCAGCTAAGTCTTATAGGCCAAATCTCTGTTACATATGTCACAATAAATATGGTGCAAGGACATGATGTGGTCAAGCTGTGACTGAATATCATATCCATGGACAGTCTATGAATCATGGGCTTCAAAGTTTTCTCTATATAAAAGTTTAGTATTTTTTTCCTGCATTTTTTAAAAATGATATCGCTTAAAAGAATAGGGAGATTCGTAACATGTTTATCAACACAGAGCGCTGCAGGGGAGTTTTTTTAATTTTTTTTGTCTCCAAAAATCATTATTTCCATAACTATTCAGCAGCTGTGCTAATTTGAAAATTTTATCCAATTCCTATTAATGAATTATTGTTGCACTATATTACAGACTTACTTAAAAACAAACCAACTGCTCCCACTTTTCCAATATGTTTCTCAAGCCTTTTGACAGCTCTAATTGTTTCTGGAATAAACTTAAATTTTTCAGAATGATAGGACTGTGAGAACCAAGAGTGCTTTGCACAGCAAAAGTGCTGGGGGATTGCAGCTTTATAACCAAGCGGGACCCTGAAATCTGGCATCAGCTTTCAAAGCCACACAATGAGCAACACCTTTGATCTTGAAATTGGGAATATGAATAGAAGCATAGCACACTCTCAAACCAACAAGAATAGGTCAGGTTTACTTATTTATATTGAAGCAGGACAAACCCCCACATATGACTATTTCCACAGCGCTAGCAGCACACACCGTGGCTCAGTCAGCAGCAGCAGCTCCTTAGCTCGGCTTTGAGGCTAGCTAGCAGTTTTGACACTGAGTCTATGAAGAACAAAACACAAGTCTGAGGTTTCTTTTCTATCTATGAGGTTTTAGCCATATAGCTATAGATGTAATATGTAGGCATCACCTGGGACAAATGACAATCTGAAGCTCAGAAAGTTGCCTAGAGTCATCTCGGGAGCCACTGGTATGGTGCTACGCTTTGCTCTTTCTACTTGACCATGATGATGCACGCATAAGACATTTACAGCCAGGATTCATCTGACCAATTTTAGACTAAGTGCTTTTGAGATGTGATTTATGCCAGGAGCGATCAGACAAGCTATATCCAGGACCTATTTTAGTTCATCAACTCTAATAGGAGTTAAGGGTGCTTAGCTGAGACACAGACACCTGCGTTGTCAATGGTTTCAGTTAGGGATCCAGCAGGTATCTCAAGTCATCTAATTTCTCTCTAGCTGCACGTCTCAAAAAACAAAAAAAAAAGTGCCACAGGGAAAATGATATTAAATCCCAAAGCAAGGCATTGCATTTGTGAGTACCACAGGATCCATGCAAACAGACTGGAAATCACAACTTCAGGGCTTATAACTTACAAGACAACCACATTCTTCAGATGTTTCTGTTCCCTTGAAGGAGAAGCCATGTCTGTGATTACACCAAAAATTGCTTTAAGTATCCAGCTGTTTTACACTCCTCATTAAAATTCACCCAGCTACCGCACATTCCAATGCACGGGAACAGAGACACATTTACTAAGATATATTTACACTAATCTGACCCAGATCAGTGCCACTCATCCAGGATCAAATTCCACCCCAATGTGAGCCGCCAAAGTGAGTTAAACTTTCAACATAAAGTGCCGCCAGAGTCCTATTTTGAGAACTCAAGTATAATTTAAGAATCATGCTGCTTTTCTGCAGCAAGTACAAGTCTACTCCTTGAGTACATTTATTCTCCCATTTCATGGGGAAGAGTCATGTGGCCTACCACACTCTGCCTCCTAAGAAGGAGGATATTTCAAAGACATGCTGCAAGCATGGTTGAATGAGCACTTTCTCAAGTTGTGTGGAGCAATTCTCAACAGCTACTTGTCAAGCAGGACCAGATGGTTGAAGGCATTTAAGCACTGCAAGACCTAAACAAGTAAGGAGCTAATATAACATTATTTAGTCAGAGAGCCATCGCTTCTTCACAGCACTTTCCCCCAAAGAAACAAAGTAGAAGTGCCTAAACGACCTTGGATGTGGAGTGCTGCACAGGGAGCCCCAACCTAGCACCAGACATTTTAGCTACTGAAATAACTTGCTGAAGGTGCATCATTGCAGCTTCCACACCAAACTAGAGCTCCTGCTTTTCTGCATTCCCTCGGGGGAACTGCGGTAGCTAGGAGGGGGTACAGAAGGGACAGGTAAGACATACCACTGAGACACTTAGCTATATCTTACTCTGCTGTGCAGGTATAGCCTCAGAATAACAAAGGTGGAACTCCAACTCCTTCAACAGCCTTGCAACACTAAACAGAAGGGGTATTTGGAGCCTTTAAAAAACCTAGTCTTCATTGCCTGAAACCCTACAGCAGGATTTCTTGCCATCTGCCTAATTAAACTGACCATTTGTCCCTATTAGTGGCAGCTGTGCTACTTAAAGCAATTAAGGTGGCACAGGAGGGAAGTGACATTTTTGCATTTTTCGTTTGGGAAGAGAGTGTTTGCAGGACTGACAGCATTGAAACATTCGTGACTGTGAAGGGGTAACATTCTTAGGTAGGTAACAATAAAAGGCATTCATCAAACATGAGCCCTTTCAGAAGTTCTAATTCAAGAAATGTGTTTCCCTATTCTTCATTCCTACTGGGGAGATTTACACCAAATAAAAGAATTGTGTCTGTGACAATGCAAAGCATTCATAGTCTCTGGCCACAGTTTTACAGCATATGTATTTTCCTTTTGATATAGGACATCTGTGAGCTAGCAACAGTAATAAATCTGAATGTTAGCACAGATAATTTTCCAAGTTTTAGGTCAAATGCTATCAAATTTAACTTATGGGCTCATTAAGATAAAACAAGCCCTTTTGTCATTAGCTCTCTGATTAGTTGCCTGGTTCCAGAACCTGGGACACAATAAATAGGTTCCTTTTTTTCCTGTAGTGTAGTGTGAATGCTTAATGAACACTGGTTATCCTTATAAATCATACACAGGGAAATCACTGCTTGAGCCATTGCTAAAAGAGGGCGATGTGATGATTTCAGCATGTTTTAAAGAGACATTCCTAGAATAACTGTTCTGTAATTTTATCATAATATAGGGCCTGAGTTTAGTGGTTAGGTTGTCTGATCTGCAACTGTACTGGTTTTCATCTTGTCGGACTTCAGGCTAAGCAGTGACAGGCTTTTGAGGTGGACGCTTTGAGTTTGGCAGTATTTGTGTTTCATAGGTGGCAGCCTTCATTATGAGGAAACATGGAAAATGGGTTGCAGTCTTGCAGAGCTCTTTGCCGCAGGAAGCTCTGTCTTTTTGTTGGGCACAGAATGCAGTGTCCACAGGCACAGCCCTTTGCAGGTATAAAACACGGGAGAGAGTTGCCCCATATGGGGAGAGGTTGAGTAGTCACCATTGTAGAAAGCAGGACTTGAGTGTGCTCCAGGATGGCTGGAAGAGCTGCAACAAATAAAATTTGGTGAAGCTGTATGTCACATCTCAGGTCTTGTGCTGGAGTATCTGTAAGTAAGATACAAAAAAAAATTGCCTCCTTATAATACGTTTCACAAAATGTGTTCTTATTTTAGAGTCTACATATCGTCACCAAGCTACCATTGATGATGAAGTGGTTTCCATGGAGATACTAGATACAGCTGGTCAGGTGCGTGGGTACATGTACTATTATCCAATACCTTGGCTCAGATAGACAGCAGGGAAGGGGAGTGCGGTGGTGGCAGCAGTGTGGTGGGTGGCAGGTGTGCTCCACTTCTGGGGACAGAGGTTTGCTTCTGAGCAGAGCAGATGCTGGATCCAGACCTTTCTGCAAGGGGCCCTGCTTAAAGTTTTTGAACACTGGAAGAACAAAGAAAGCCAGGGTTTACTCTGGGATTAAAATGTTTTTGTTCTATTCCTTGATTCAGGGCCAACCCAACAACACGTTATTAGTATGCATGAAGTCACAGTCTATTTCTACAGTCAAGTGATGAGGCTTGACAGCCTAGTCAATAATTCCCACCAACATGAAGAGCAGTTCTGCCATAACCAGGTCCCCCTTCCTTTCTCAGATGCTCACACTGCACAGTCCTATGCAGTTCATGTGCTGGCTATCATTCAGCAGAGACCCTGTTCCAATTGCCTGCTACCACCCTGCCCACAGGCAGCCCATGACACCTTGGTAGAGTAGATCTCCTATGCTACATGATAAAAAAGGTGACGTACATAAAGTGTAAAGTAAAGTAGACGTACATGGCTTTGCAGGCTTTGGAAGACCAACATCTATCTGAAGGCCTAGTGTCTTCTTCATAAATCCAATTCCTAAGGCTGGTGTCTGTCTTTTCAAAACAGGAGGATGCTATTCAGAAAGAAGGACATGTGCGATGGGGTGAAGGCTTCGTGCTGGTTTACGACATCACGGACAGAGGCAGCTTTGAGGAAGTGCTGCCACTTAAGAACTTGTTGGATGAAGTTAAAAAACCGAAAAATGTCACCCTGATCCTGGTGGGGAACAAAGCAGACTTGGATCACTCCAGGCAGGTCAGCACAGAGGAAGGTGAAAAGCTGGCCACAGAACTAGCATGTGCTTTTTATGAGTGCTCTGCTTGCACAGGAGAGGGCAACATTATGGAGGCCTTCTATGAGCTCTGTCGTGAGGTACGGCGTCGAAAGATGGTCCAGGGCAAGACTCGGAGACGAAGCTCCACCACCCATGTCAAGCAGGCAATTAATAAGATGCTTACCAAAATCAGCAGCTAAAAAGAGCTGTGCTAAGCCAGAGAAGCATTTTAGAACATATTAGCTTGGAGTAGGGATGAGGCAGGCAGAGCACATTTAATTAAAAATGGTCAAAGCTTTGCAATTAAAAAAATAGAAAAGACAAACCACACCACTTTTTTGAGTAACACAGGGTCAGACTTTTTTCCTGTTTTGAGATGTATTTAGCCACACTGCTTCTGGCTAATGTGGGGCAGAGTGGGGAAGGAAATAAAAAAGTAAACTCCAAAGGACTAGATGATTGTGGGGATTGGCACTGACGGAGCATCTTCTGCTTCTACAAGGCTGGCTCCAATCCCTTGCAAGTCAGTAGTGCCTAAACACAATTTCCAGCCAGCCAGCTGCTCGGTAGCCATTGGAGAGTAAGATTCAGTCCTTGGTCCATCAACAGCCATCACAACCGGTGTTCTCAAGGACTGAATATACATAGAGGCTGCTGTGTTTTACCAGAAAGTTCATCTGACACCTTTCACCAGCTCTAAATTGGTGCATTGTGTGCTTTTACTTCAAACTGTCCTTCCTTGTTATTTTTGTCAAATCTATGAGTGCTAATGTTCTTAGCAAGGTATGCAAAAAATATAGGAAAGGTCTTTTTCATGAAGCGTTTAGCCAGCAAGACACACATTTCAACAGAGCTGAAGTTCCACTACTTCTCCAGATCCTCTGAAACTGCAGAATTCATCAAGAAATAATCAGCTAGTCCAGTGGCATTTCAGCATTTCCCTCTCGAAGTGCAATACTGTACTTGTGGAAATGGGAGTGTGTGTGTTGGGAAATCAAACTAAAAAATAACCATATTACTATTGATTTAGTTATGGGTAGTTTTTAGCTTTTGTTTACATTTTTGTTTTGGTCTTATTTCAATTCAAGTAGTTCCTCTTATTCTATTTTATACCGAAGAAGAACTGAATCCATGTGAAGACAAGTATTTAAAGTCTAAGCCCAAATGTAAATCAGATGTGAATGGCCTCTACCATATCAGGAGGCCATAATTTCCAGCTGTTTAAACTTCCAGATGTTGCTTGAAGCACTCTGTGGTTTAAACCAGCACAGGTTTTTTGTGACTCTATCTGGCACATTCAATTGAAAGTGCATTTTATCAGATTTTCATGCCTGGGATAAAAGGTGTCCAGTTTTTTCTCCTCCCTTCTCCTCCCTCATGCATCTCATTTAAGCCAGCTGTCAAGTTTTATGTTCTTAACTCTATGCTAAGAGATGCAAGAATGGAGACTGAAAGACTTTCATTCAGATTGTGCTTGTCTCCCACCAGTTGTGTTGCATCCCTTTAGGCAGCATGGCGTACAGCTCAGACCGGCATCATGTAGAACCACAGCCAAAGGTTGGGATGACAAATCAGAATATTAGCAGTATTCTCCTTTGAGGACCAGCCCTCTTGTAGCGACTACTTACAATTTTATTCTCCACTACTTTGTAATTCGTATGGTTATTTGCCTCTGTGACAAAGTAACACCAAAAGGCTATCAAATGCAAATTGCCACAGATGTAGGAGCATGAAGATATCTGGTCAGATAGTACTTTATAGAGTTATAGGTAGCCATATAAGAGGTGGAACCGGCTGGAGAATTAAGCCTGTATATCCCTGTGGACAGAGAAAAGTCCCAAGTCAGGACTATTCAAAAGATACGTTAAAGATACTTTACCAAAGTAAATTTTTTAAAACATTCTCTCACCCATATCTTGTACCCAACCAGCATCAAAGAATGTCACATTCAGGTGTCTATTTTATTTGTATTATTGTTTATTTTCTCTGTTTCCCCCATTCTAGATAGTGAAAACTCATTCCACTCTTCTGGAATAAATATCTGTATTTTGGTCCTCATATTCAGGTATGTTGCCATACACACTGCAATGGAAACCTCACCATGTGCTTCTGGGCAGGAGGTTCTTGCAACAGGTGATGTCACTATCTCCATGACACACCTGTTCCCAAACTATTGGTCATATCTCATAACTTTTGTTTCAAAAAAAAAAAAAAAAAAAAGAAGTCTTGCCATTTTTAGTGTTATTAGTAATGCAGAATCAATACAAGCGTAAAAGAAAGAGGTAGTGCCTGTTCACACACCAGTAGTCATTAGCTGAAGGTCTGAGCTTGCAAATGTCTGTGTTACAACGTTAGAAGCCAGAGTGAGCATTTCACTAAGTCATTCTGTTATCTTCTAAATCTGTGCTGTTGAACAAATCTGAGGTAAACAAAATCCTTACCTGCAATCCCATGGCAACATAGCTGATGAGGAAGGTCATTGTGTCAGTATTCCAAGCAGATGATTTATCCCTCTCTAAGACAACTTCAGCAGTTCTTTTCTCAGAAAACCTTTCCTGGGTTAAAATACAAAAAGGTAATATATGAATTATAAGAGAAAATAAATTAATAGTATTCATATTAGGAGAGTTTAAAGGAAGGTGAGGCTAAGTTATGGCCCTAATACTTTCCAAAAGAATCCCAGCAAATTGTATCTTCTTTTATAATGTCTGTGTGGACAAGTTATAAAATCCTGGTGAAAGAAAATTTTCCACTGTGCAAACATGACTTGTTACATAAAGAACCTCTAAGAAAATAGTAACATTCCTTTGCAAAGGCTGAATTTGGAAACTGCCAAACATGATAAACACTCAGTCAAAAAGGAGGCTGCTATTTTGTGACCTTTCTTCCCACACAAACACAAATTTCTTTACTTAATTGCTCATTATGTTTTTTTTCCTCAGTGTAATGGGCTGCCTGTCAAGCCAGTTATAATATAGTATATTATAATCTGTTGATACATATTACATAGTATTAAATGCAATCTGATTTACTGTTGCTCATAATGTTGCAACATATTATTGGCTATGCTATAAACGTGTCATATTTCTACAATGTGCAAATTGAGACAGAAAAAGTGCCCAAGCATTGAAAAGGCCAAATGCAACATGAACCCATATTCAGTAGCCTTTCTGCAGCAGACATCGACAGTTTAAATTCTGTTTCTACTGCTGCTATTTAAATGTACATATATGACACTAACATTCAGTTCCTCTCCTCTGCCTGTTATCATTTTTGCAGAGAGAGGATGGGAAGGACGATAAACAAAAAGGGGGAGGAAAGGTGAAATGGATACTTGTTACCTACAAGTTGATTGTCATTTATGAAGTTTTAAAATATTTATCTTCAATTGATGAAGAGTTAGTCATGCCCATGCTGCAAGACCTGGATCAGGAACCAAGACTTCCCTAGAACTTTGAGAATCTTCATATCTGGGGGTTCAGTGCAACCATGGATGGAAGTGAGGATCAGCCACTGGGTTTGCACCTGGATCCAGACAAGTTGTCCCCAAACTTGGGGATAGTTGCATCTGGCAGTTTGCTACGAGGCTAGTTGATTTTTATATATATAATGATCTGTATGCATTTTTACATTAAAAATATGAAAGCTTGTGCTTGTAGATAATATATAAGAAAAAAATAAAAATAAAAAAAATAGTGCTCTCTGTACTGAACTCTTAGGCATTGATCTTCTGTCAGTTGTCTCTGAAGTGTTGTCTTCCAGCATTTAAGGAGCCAGTTCCAGAAGTCCCAATTCAGTTTTTATTTAATCTTTATCTAATGAAAACAAACAGTGAGTTTTGCCTGAATGAGCACTTCAGCATTTGGATCAGTTTATTTAAACTTGCTTGGCTGCTGGGCCTGGAATCAAGAGGTCGGGCAGCATCTACGGTGAAGCACAGAACCGAATGTCCCTGCTAACTATTTCAAGGCTGATCAGAAAAGCTACAGTGCCAGGGTTATTAAACGACCTCAGTGAAACCCTCCACCCAAACTCTGTCCTGCTGACTAAATAACTGGCATCTCGATCCCAAGCTTCTCAGGTAAAATCCTGGGCTAAAAGGTCTGGGAGATCTATGCCAGTGATTTGGACACTGGCTTTTCACTTGCTGACAGCTATGCCCATTTTCCAAGAATAAATAAAATGCACTGTTGTTCTGAAGAGAGGGTACATTATATCAATGATATACAATCACACATAGTGTGGGTATTAAGCTGTAGCAGAGGGAAGCTTCATCGCAGAAGAGGGGTACCAGCTGTAATCCACTCTTTGTTTTCCTCCAAACCTGGGCCAACCACGTAAGCCAAAGCATGAACACAAGCAGCTGAACGGCAGTGGCGATATAACAGTGCCACCTCTGATAGATCATTGCAGGAAACTTGGGTGCAAGATCTATGCTTTGAGGTGAAACCTCCCAAAACTAGGTAAGGCATCTTTCCAGTCGCTGTCTGCCTCTGTAACACTGCAAAGCAGCCTTGAGTTATGTCAAGCTGCACTGTAATTTGCTCCAGTCAAAACAATGTTTCCTGCAAAATAAGTAGCTGCAGTCATAAAGACTATGTATAAACAGCGTTCGGGGTTCCTTTTATCTTTCTCTTTAATGGCTCTGTCCATTTGCATATCTTGAGAAGCAAAGGAAAAAGGTAGAGGCTTTAATTAAAAACGGCTCCTTGGCATTTTGAGGTAACTGCCTTTATGTTCTTTGAAAAATTAAACATATAATGAAAACAGTGTCATCTTAGAAATTCTGATGTTATGCACTTTATTTCCATTACAGATGCCAGGCACTAATTACTGCAGGGTTATGAAAATAGAGCAGCAGCTTGTTGTCCTGTGCTTTGCAAGGTTACTAGGAGGCGATAATGATGGCTTGTGTGAGGCCAGTTCAGGCTGGTTTCTGTAAACACAGTTCCACATGAGGAAAGCTATTGCTGCAGCTCACAGCAGAAAGTGACAGGCTAAGTTCCCGGGGCAGGACTCCACTGACTCCAGCGGGGTTTTGCACAGGACGGGTCAAGCCCCTGGTTCACAGCCTTGGTAGCCAACACGTGGAGAAAACACTCCAATAGCCAACTTCTCTCATCCAGATGAAGAATATCCTCTATTTTTTGTCTGAAGTAGACCGGTAGGAAAATGGGAGGTAAGTTTACACTACTGGCTGTCATCTAATAAATCGGACAATGTGATGGGAGTTTGGTTGTCTGCCTTTTTGGACTGGTCTCTTTCACCTCCACTAAATTCCCCAAAGCAGCATTTTTCTTTTCCCACTGCTATGGTTTTAAAATAAGGCAGGGGGTTTAAATGGCAGATGTCAATATACTCTGATATCCAGGGATGTTGTATGAGCAAAGAGGCCGTTTCACTTCTTGGAGG